GCAGCGAAGTCCCCAGATTTGCAGCAGCAGCAGCAGCAGCGGCGGCAGCAGGGAAGTCCCCGGAGGTGGACTCAGGGGCTTGCGCGCTAAGTAGGAGGCAACGGGACCGCTTTTTAGGGTTTAGGGTTTAGAAGGGTTTAGAAGGACTTAAAAAGGGTTTGGAAAAGGGTTTAGGTTTTAGAAGGGTTTACGGCGAAGTGTTTATCGGGGTTTATGGCTCTCTGCTTTGGCCTTAGCAAAAGCTTCAGAAAAAGCCCTCGAAGAATTGAGCGTTTAGAGGCTTCGAGGGTTTAGGGTTTAGGGATTTCGAGGGTTTAGGGTTTAGGGCTTTGGAGGGCTAAGGGTTTAGAAAATCGGGACTTCGCGAAATCAGGGTTTAGCGCATCGGGCGTTCGAGGGTTTAGGGCCTAGCGCACCGGGCACTCGAGGGTTTAGGGTTTAGCGGATCGCGCGTTCGAGGGTTTAGGGTTTAGCGGATCGCGTGTTCGAGGGTTTAGGGTTTAGCGGGTCGTGGGTTGAGGGTTTAGCGCGTGAAAACTGGCCCGCGGCGAAAGCCGCGGGGAAACGCTGGGGCTTCGGGGCGCGCGGGCGCGGCCCAGGGTTTAGGGCTTAGGGTTTAGGGTTTAGGGCCTAGGGTTTAGGGTTTAGGGTTTGGCGGACGAGGGTTTTCTGCTGCTGCTGCTGCCACTCGCGCTCGACCTGCCAGCCCTCCTTGTAGTCCGTCCGGTCGTGCAGAAACTTGCAACAATCTCCAAAACCACAAAACCCTGTTTCTTTAAAGTCTTTGCAAAGTTCGGGTTTATAGTCCACAAAGAGGGTCAAGCGGACATGGGGGGCCCCCCGGGGGGCCCCCAGGAGGGCCCCCCGCGAGGGTTTGGCGTAGAGCCGGTGGGCGCCCTGCCCGCGGTAAACCCCCGGCTCCAGCAAACCCTTTTTTAGGGTTTCGCTTATCGCCAGCCGCCGCTCCCACAGCGCCCGCTTGTCTTCCCCCCGCCCCGCGTCCACCTCCAGCGTCGCCGTCGCCCGGTTGTCGTCGTCCAAACCCTGGCGCAAACCCTAAACCCTAAACCCTAAACCCTAAACCCTAAACCCTAAACCCTCGCGCCGCCGCCGCAGCCCCCCCGGGCCCCGCGCTGCGCCTCGCCCGCCCACGCGCTAACCCCAAACCCCCAACACGCGACTCGAGAATTTCACCCTCAACCCTTCCAAACCCTAAACCCTTCCAAACCCTAAACCCTTCCAAACCCTAAACCCTAAACCCTTCTAAGCCCCTGGCCGTACCAAGTCGGGGTTGCTTTGCTGCGCGAGAGCGTCCGTCGCCTTTTGCTGCTCGCCCTTTTCTCCCTTCGTCTGGACGCAGCACAATTCCGCAAACCCTAAAAAAGGGTTTACGGGCCAGCGCGTACGCCAGGCCGTCCGGAGCGCTGCCGAGGGTTTAGGGTTTGCACTCAGCGCCACTCAAGCCTAGGGTTTGGGGTTTCGTCCAAACCAAAAACACCCTTCAGATTAGGGTTTAGTGCCGGTCTCGCGGCTCACCATCTAAACCGCGGTTTAGGGCTTAAACTAGGGTTTAGGGTTTAGGGTTTAGATCACCTTCCCAACTAAGAAATGCTTGCAAAGCAGCTTCCGAGGGTTTCGAGGCTTAACTATCTTTGCATGTTCTTCATCACTTCCATCAGACCCACAAGTACCCTGGGGGGGCCCCTCGGGGGGCCCCCCGGGGGGCCCCCCTGGGGGCCCCCCGGGGGGGCCCCCCGCGGGGCCCCCTAGGGGCTCCTCTTGAGGGG